TAATTTTTAAAATCAAAAGCATAAAATGATGCACTAGACAGATCTGTGTGGGCTGTGTGGACAGATAATCATGACCTACTATTGAGTGGAAAACAAGTTACACAAGGGCAGGTGCAGTGTGATTAGGAATGACACAGATTAAGAATCGGTGTGTATGCAAATGCTTAGGAAAAGGCTGGGAAGATATCCACCCAACGGACAATGGTGAGTAGTTACCACTGGAGGGTCCGAAGGTCCAGGAGTGGACAAATGTTGTTTTAATGTCATTTTAACAAGGAGAATGTATTGGCATTTTACATAATGAAAAATCTCTTAAAATAAAAGTAACTTATGCTTATTATACATACAGTCAATACTGGAAGATTACAAGTAAAAAGAAATCAGCTATTATCACCATCCCTCATGACAACTCTTAAGCATCTTGGTGTTAATCCCTCTGGGTTATTTTCTGTTGATAGACTGATTGAGATAGGGAGATATCTTGTTTTTTAACTAAAACTGGACAGGCCACATGACTCCTTTTTTCTTCCGTATATCGGGACTGTCTTCCGGTAAATAGAGGCCCGTGCTAATTTGCGAGCTGTGGGAATGCCGGGTCCACCCCGCGCAGCTAGGCGCCTTCATCTGCGGAGCCACCGCTTCCCTGGGTCAGAGCGAGAGCGTGCGTCCTGGTCTGTCTCCTCTCTGGACTGACGCCTTGTTGTCGGGAACAGTGGTTCTCGGCCAGGGTGGGCAAAGGAGACTCCCCCGGGCTTTCTCCCAAGCTGCTCCTGTGCCCACGGAATCAGTCCGCAGCAAGCACTCAGCCCCTCTCAGATTCTGGAGGGAGACGGAGAAAGAGTGGAAAATCCCCATTTTCCAGTAATTATTTTCAACCTCAGTCCTGCCTTGAGATTCCCTGGGGAGGTTTGTTGTTTGTAGCAGCTCTGATGGATTCCTGGTCCTACCCTTCTGCTGAGACTCGTAGTGGCAGGTGTGGTGGTAGGTAGGGGACCCGGCATGTGTATTTGAAAAAGGGCTCCGCGGGGTGATCGCAGGGACACCTCAGTGAGGAGCACTGCTTTGGATCTTGCCTCAGAAACCAGCGGTCCCGAGCACCGGACCTTGCTTTTCATGGTGCACAGGGCCGCCCAGCCAGCTGGACCCGCCCCCTGAGAACTGGCTGCCGCTTCTAGGTGCCATCGGCAGGGATGGAAGCAGCCGGTGGGATGGGACACGTCTCAGACCACTTCTCACTCCCTGTGTGAGCCTGGGCGGGTCACTTAACACTCTGAGCTGAGTTCTGTTACCTGGGAGGTGGCTGTGAGGATCCAGCAATTAATATTAATTAGGTAATTAATCATAATTAGGCACTTAAGTGTCAGAGTTGGGCCTAGGGCTGTGACGCAGAGTGCAGTGCAGACACGAGGGCTTGTTTCATTTTCCCCCAAGGAGACAGGGAATCTGAGCCTTTTGGACACTAGTGTTTTCTATTCGGTTGCAGGATCCACCATTATTTTCTCTCCGTGTTCTTTGGTTCCCTCCTAACACTAGTAATAACCACAGGGAACGGTTACTGGGCCTTTATGGGTGCCAGGCACAGAACTACGTATGCTGTGCTCCTGGAGTCCCGGCCTTCCCTGGAAGTAGGTGGTGTTATTCATCCCCATTTTATGGATGAGAACATTGAGGTTCAGGGGCCAAGTGGCTCAGGTCATGGAGCTCAGAGACACGGAAAGGATTCAGACTTGGGTCTTCCCAAAATCAAAACCCGGGCTCTTAACGAACCAGTCCGTCTCCCTCACAGAGCTCTGACATGCCTGGGCTCTCAGGACCACTGTCACTGGCCTGGCTGCCTCTAATATCATTAATCCAGTCAACACATAGCACTTACATGCCCCACCCTGACGCTTCCTAACCGGCACACCCGGCTCATTTCAAGTCCCAGCGAGCGGTGTGCAAAGGCGAGCTTGTCGGACTTGCTCTGCTCCTCCGCCTCCGCGATGAGCGTGCCCGGCCTCTCGCACTGGAAGAGAAACTGCCTCCTGGCCTTTCCCTCCTGCCCAGGCAGGTCTCTGTATTTCGCGTTCACGGGTTTTATTGAGTGTCCTGTTCTCCTGATGATGCTCTGGGAGAGGGGAATAATGGGGAGCAATGTAACACAGCCTCTGGTGCTGGTTTCGTACAGTGGCGGTCAAACCCAGGCCTCTGGTGCTTGCGCTAGCACTCACTTTTCATGTGCATGTGTATGTTTTAAACTATTAATTGAGCGCTTCCTGTGTGCCAGAAGCTGTGCGAAGGAGTTATGTGCCTTATTTTACTTTATTTCATGACACACTTGTGAGGAGGTACTGTTGTTACCCCCATTTACCAAGGAGGGGCCCAAGTTCAGAGGGTTAAGGCGCAGGCTCAAGGCCAGGAACCAGTGAGTCTCCCAGTCAGGACCCAAACCCAGCCTCCTGCCTGCGAAGCCCGGAGGCCCCCGGCAGACGCAGCTGCGGTGCTCGGCCGTGAGCCGTGTGCACCATGTCCCGGTCGCGGTGACCAGCAGCTCTTTGTGTCCTGTTGTCTGTAAGAGCGTCTGAGTCTCACCCATCCGCGTGTCCT